CTCATCAACTCCACGTTCTAACTGAATGCCACCATTAAAGGATATCACATAGATCTGTAGACCATGACCAAAGCCCCTAATTTCGATCTCTGTCGAGTGATGTGTGAGCCATCGTGCTGTAGCATAAATGGCTGTTGTTTTTCCACTCTGACGATGTCCATATACAAGACAAAATTTGCCTTGAATAAGGTATGTGCTCAGTTTCTGGATTGCATTTATTGGTTCGACATAGAAGTTGATATCGGGGTATGCTCCATTGGCTGCTGTGAAGGTACGGGGTCCTACACCAAGTGTGTAAATATCAACCCAGGGATTAATGAAACAACATTGAGCTTACACAAAGCAAGATTCTGCATAAACACACTCTTTATCTTGACTGGGAACATATCCGACTCTGAAGGTGAGCATGAACATCAAATTCCTAGATCAGAAACAGTATGGACATGGACAAACAGAATATAACAAGGAGACCAAACGAATGGATTATTCAATGACACAAACAATATAGAGTAGTTCAAGAAAATCCACTACATCTACTCAAAGGTCGAAGATAAACTTACCAGTGGATGTGCCTACGGTTAATGATGAGGACATAGCAATATTAATATGTTTATTGGTTAAGCAGTTAATATTTATAATCTTACAGAAAGAAGTAGATTTGCAAGTTATCATAACTCTAATCTATTTACTCTATCCTATGTACACACTTCTCTATGTCCCAGCGCCTCTGTTACTCTTATTCTATATTGCTAACTTGTCTCTTATTCTCCCAATAAAAAACCATATTACTATGTCTACTCTACCCCACGTACACACTACTCTATGTCCCCAACGCCCGAGTCACAAAGTCGTTACCTGGTTGAGTGCTAGCATTAACTAAAGCATCTCCCCACTTCTTTTTTTCTTCCAGCCAAAAAGTCTCTTGCCGCTCCAAGACGCTCCTCTCCCCTTGGTACTCTTCCTCCCTTCCACGCCGTAAAGCTTCTAGCCTATCTAACTTCGCGTTAGCCTTCTCAAATTCTTGTTTCAACTGGGCGGTGTCCATGTTTGACTTGTTCGAAAAAGAGATGCTGCGCGATGTGATCTAATATACTAACGTCGATCAGTGGCTTAATCAATGACGTATTATTGGGAACTTTCTAGATCTTTTCAAAATGTAACTATTGTTCTCCTGTATGCAGAATGTGATCATGTTAAAATGTTTGCTCTCACAAGCGAATTTATTATTGGATTGTTGATCGGAATTATTCCCTTTATTATAAAATTCACAAAGATCAGTTGCGTAATATAAATCAAAAAATTGATAAAATAATCAATTTAGTTGAGCCGAAGAAAAAACCTAAGACTAACAAACAAATTGGCCAACGTAACTATCCACTAGAAATCGAAAACTTGTGGAATGATTTAATCCTATTATACGAAAAAAGAATTAAATCGGATTCAAAATTTTCATTTAACAAAATGGTGCTTGAAATCCA